AAGAAAAGAAAAGAAAAGAAAAGAAAAGAAAAGAAAAGAAAAGAAAAGAAAAGAAAAGAAAAGAAAAGAAAAGAAAAGAAAAGAAAAGAAAGAAAAACAAGGTGGATGGCTTCAGAGGGGCAGCACCTGAAACTGTCCTCTGGCCTCCGAATGCACTTGCAACCATACACATATGCCTGAACACCTATGTACACCAACATGGACATGCACACACGTGAAGTTGTAAGTAATGAATGGAAATGTCCAGTCCCTTATAGTCTTCTCCCAGAGTTCCAGAAGAGACACTACCAGTGGCGAATTAATCTGAGGGATGTTGAATGAATCTAAGTACACCAAGCTCTTTAGTCCATTCACTTTAGTCTTCTAAGTGGAGTTCTTTCTTTCCTTCTTTCTTTCTTTCTTTCTTTCTTTCTTTCTTTCTTTCTTTCTTTCTTTCTTTCTTTCTTTTTTTGTTTGTTTTGTGTTTTGTTTTTCAAGACAGGGTTTCTCTGTGTAGCTTTGCGCCTTTCCTGGAACTCGCTTTGTAGACCAGACTGGCCTCGAACTCACAGAGATCTAAGTGGAGATCTTTCCACACAGCTTCAATTCTGTTCTCACACTGAGCTCCTCTCTTGCCTGATCCTCTCTACATTTTCTGCTGTTCTCTCTATGTCCTATCTTAGTTCTTACCCATCTTAATCCTACCCCATCTTCGTTCCTCCCCATCTCAATTCTTCATCTTAGCTCTTCTCAAGTCTCTGGGGTTTGCAGGTATATACCCATGCCATCAGCAATACTATGGCCAAAGCAAGATCACACAGCTTGAGTTCTTTCAGGGTCAGAGAGGTGATAAGATCCACACAAAGAGCAGTAATTGTCAGCTGTCATTTGCAACCCAAAAGGGAAGTGCCTTTTTCATGGGGGAGTGAAGCCACTAAGGGCTAAATTCAGTTAATAGATCTAAAAAGGGAATTTATGTGCTCAAATTATATTCCTAGAAGTGGTTAGGGAGAATGTTAGGAGTCTATAAGTCACTAAGTCATGAGTGAAAATAAAACTGCCTTTTTTTCCTTTGGCACTGTGTCTGTCCAAGCTTATCTCGGCTGTGCCGTTTTCTGGCCTGGCAGGGGAAGTGTACTCGGAAGCTAGGCAACCTATGTCACAGCCCGATGTACCTGGTATGTGAAAGTCCTTCTGTTCTGAGTTCATTGTTAAAGGGAGTTCTTTGGAACTAGAGATAACACTTGGAAAAAGGAGGGTTAAGCTTCATCTGAGCATCTGTCTGGCCTGGAAGGTTGTCTCAGTGTAAATTTTTACCTTATCTAGGTCTGGGAAGTATCTCAAATAAAATACTCTCATCGGAAAAAGCCCTGGCCCGATGTTTGCTAATAAAGATGATTACAGAAAGGCCTGAAATTAGGGGTCTCGGCTGTGTGATTGTTGTCAGCACAGTTTGGGGATGTTATCCAAATGCTCCAGTTGTACAGGGGAAATTGTGCCCAATGAGTGATCCACCACACTGTTAGAAGTTCTCAGGAGGGGCTGGAGAGATGGCTCAGAGGTTAAGAGCACTGGCTGCTCTTCCAGAGGACCTGAGTTCAGTTCTCAGCAACCACATGGTAGCTCACAATCATCTATAATAAGATCTGGTGCCCTCTTCTGGCATGCAGGCACATGTGCAGGTGGAACACTGTGTATATAAAAAATAAATAAATCTTTAAAAAAAAGTTCTCAGGAAAAGAATCACATGGGAAAACTACAATAGCACACACGAAATTCATTACAGGAAACGGCTAATATAA